TAGCCAGGAGTCTGGTGGATTTGCTCCCTGATGCTTCCGCCAAAAATACCACTGGATGGCTGAAGACTGCCCCATCTGACACCCGAAGGTCCGGAGTCAGAAGTCCTGACAGTGTGAGTGTGGCTGAGTTCTCTACTAAACCTGTCACAAGCACAAGTCAAAGTCTCTGCCTGCCATGACACACCAGTTCCTTGTAGTGAAAGGACTGAGGTTCCCCTTTCCTGTTGCCGTGATCATCCTGTTTTTCGTAGCAGCTCTCTGGTTTCTGCACATGTCCCCCATTTTTGTTTGGTTTGGTTGTTTCCCCAGAAAAGGTCTCTCTATGTTTCCCAGGGTAGTCCTGAACTCCTGGACTCAAGCAACCCTCCTGCCCAGTGTCCCAAGTAGCTAGACCTACAGGCACACACCACCACCCAGCATACGCCGCTCCACCGCGGCAGCCAGAACCAGCAATCAAATCCTTCTGGTGCTTTGGATGTCTGCTTGTAAGAACCCATGATCACCCCAGGCCAGCCCCATAACAGCAGGGGCAGTTTCCCTCCCCACATGACGCAACCACTCACAGGAGGGACTCTTTCAGGCTCTGGCCCACTGCCATGTCCCGCATTTCAAAAGCCCCACTGCAGCCTCTCTCACGGACCCAAGCCCAGCCCCAGCTGCTCCACTCCCCGGCACACTGGGCCTGACCCCCGCAGCTTCCAGGCGTGCGAACCCTCAGCCACCCCGTGGGAGCCTAAAGGACCTTAACGCTCCAAGACCTTCCTGTCAGAGACACGACAGCAGGCTTCACCTGCGGCACTGGGAGCTTGCTGTCTCTGCCTCCAACACCCGGCCCAGGCTGAACCCCGGACCTGCGTTCTGCTGCTGTACCCAAGTCCCCAAGACCGCTAAATCGTAGGCGGTAAGAGGCACTGTAGGAGAAAAAATTTTAAACTGTTTTTTTTACCTCTCATACTAGGGATCAAACTCAGGACCTTGCACCTGCAAGGCAGGCAATTATGCTGCTGAGCCATCTCCCTGGTGAAAATTCTATCTTTCTCTCTCTCTCTCTCTCTCTCTCTCTCTCTCTCTCTCTGTATCTTGCAGTACTGGGAATCAAACTTGGGACTTTGCGCTTGCCAGGCAGATGCTTATGCCACTCCTTGGCCTAAAATTTTAAAACTGTAACATCATAATCGGGCCATCAGCCTCAGCCAGCCTGGACTAAACTACCCAACTGCAGCTCAGAAATGACGTGACTCTGCTCTCGCTGACCAGCTGCGCGAGGGCCTGCGCTCATGTCCTGCTTTGCCAGCCTGTCTCAAGGACTAGCTACGTGGGGCAGGCCAGCCCTGTCAAGGGCACGCTTCATCGTACGCACCCGCCCGGACCCCGACTTCCCCGGTCCTTCCTGCCTCGTGACAAATGGCCCCCTAATTAAACCTGCCCCGGCCACATCTGCCTGACAACGTGTGAACAAGCATATGCTGAGTTACAGAATAACCCGTCACTGACTCTGCGCTTCCCGCTTACACCACGCAGAAGCTGCTGCGACTTTACTCCAGCCGGGCTGGTGATGTGGACCTGGTTCCCACCAGCCCCCTGGTGTCATGAACGTACCTTCCAGCGCTTGGTGCAGAGCGTTTTGCATCCAGTTCAATACAGGTTCTGCAACAGTACAAGAATGGGAACGGGTGCAGGGCAGGAGGAGGTGAAGCCAGGGCTACAGCTCGGTGCGACAGACAGCACCGGCCTCGCAACCCAAGGTCCTGAATTCAACTTCTAGCCCCCCCTCACCCCGCCACCAAAAAAAAGGAGCAAAAGGCAGCAAGGGCAAATACGCAAAAGGGGTCAATCTCATGCTGTTGAATTCTTTTTCAAATGCTGAACATCGAGCCTGGGCCCCCGGTGCTCACTAGGAAAGTGCGTGCCATTAGGCTCCATCCCCAGCCCCAAGGCGACCTTTGTAACAAACCACTGAGGGAGAACTGACCCCCTCCACAGCAACACTTCGCATCACTGTAGCAAAAGAATTAAGAGCATCTAAGCAGAGGAGAAGCCTGCCAGGTGGGGTGGCGCACACCAGTAATCCCAGCACTAAGTCTGACGGAGGAGGACCAAGCTCGAACCAACCAGGGCAATTAACAATGCCCTGTCTTGAAATCCATGTAAAAAAATGGTTTTAAGCTCGTGGCATAGCTCGGTCCAAAGGCCCTGAGTTCAATCTCCAGCAGCGAAAGAGCTTACTTGGGCTCAGTTTCACGGTGTCATTCCACTGCCATTTGGGCCCACTACCTTGCACCTCCGGCAGCCCAGGGGAGGCGGAAAACGTGCTCACCTCACCGCACCCAGGAAATGGAAGCGAGCCGGGAAGGGGCCGGGCTCCCGGTGACGTCACATCCGCGCACGGACCCGCCCAGTGACCTCACTTCCGCCCACCAGGCCCCGCCCAGTGGGCCCCGCCCCCGCAGGCTCCACCCCCTTCCAGAGTGCCGCAGGCTGGTGTTGTCCTCTGACTCACAGCCGCTGCAGGCCAGGCTGCGTCCACGCTATCTCAAGCAGGAATGCACTCTCGAGGGACCCCAACCAACCCTCGAGACCCAACACTCTCCAGAGATGCATTTTTCCAGGTCAATCTGGGGTCACCTTCCAGCCCTGGCAGGCCGGGATAAGGTGGTCAGGCGTCGGAAGCCGCTGAAGCTGGAACTGGGCACGTGTGGGAAAGCACCAGGCCTCAGCGCCTAAAGCAGGGAAGCTACCCCACTCCTGAGAAAAGCGTCCTGCCTGGTCAGCGCCAGCTGGTGGTCACCAGGCAACCTTGTGTCTCGAGGTACTAACTATGCAAATGTATAAATAAGCGCCCCTACTGTTGTTCAGGGGTCCTTTGCCAATCACGTTGGGCACCACCTGACCCAGCTCTCGTCTTCTTTTCTGTCTTGTCCTCATTCCTGCCGCTGTTTCTCTCTGGTGTACCCAAGACAGCAGCAAGTCCTACACAGGAAGTTTCTACAGGGGCGGGTGTCACGGCACACGGAGGGGCAGCTGCAGCCTCCTGGCCTCCTCCCTGCCTGCCCAGCTCTGGACAAGATGCTGGCAGCGAGGTGCGGCCCTCAGCGCGCAGCCCACCGGGATATCACGGCCTGTGGACTATTTAAGGGAGGGAGGTGGCGATGCAGCTGGCACAGCTGGCAGGGGCCCTGGTGTCGATTCCAGCAGGCCCAAGAGCGGAGCAGACATGCTCTGGGCACAGAAACAGAAAATGTGGTCATCAAGAACGTCTCAAGCATCCTGTCACGCTGGGGGAGGCTGCACGGTGCTGGCAGAGGGCAGCTTTACAGACACGTGCGCACACACACACACACACACACACAAGGCCACCGACCTCTACCAAAATGGCAAAGGGGGGGAATGCACATCTGGCAGATGAAGGCCGTGGGTTTTGAGACCGTTGGGAGAAGGCCGCCGGGAGAGGGTGGCAGATGAAGCAGGTGGCAAGTGCTGCCTGGGAAATGTGGAGGGATCCACACACCCAGCACCCCAGAAGCCAGGAGGCTGGGAGCGCCACTGCAGCACCTCCCCCTCCATTTACTGGAGAAGCCAGATGAACACCTGCCCGCGAGAGCTTGGTGTCTGCTTGGCCACGCACACATCAGCCGATCAACATAAGAGATGTGTGCAACGGTGCTGGTTCATAAAGGAGTACCGATAAACGCCACAACACGGATGGGCCCTGCACACCTTCAAAGAAAAGAGTCATAAGAGACTAAGTATTCATATGAGCTTGCGTGCGTGCAATACCCAGAACAGAGCAATCTACCAAGCCAAGCTGCTGTTGCATGGAAGGGCACACCTGCAGTTCCATCACGTGGGAGGCTGAGGCAGGAGGGTGTTCAACTGGACCTCAGGCTGAGCTATTACTAGCAAAAACCTCTCTTTAAAAAGAGAAGAGGGCTGGTGAGATGGCTCAGTGGTCTAAAGCACCTACTTAGAACAAGCTAAGCTAAGCAAAGTACAGGGACCACGGTTCAATCCCCCAGCACCACATGCCAGCCAGCCCCGCCCCCTGGTGGGCTGAGCTGGCCACACACAAAATAAAAAGAGAAGAAAAAAGAAATTAAAAAATAAAAATAGGGCTGGGCGATGGCTCAGTGGAATAAGCACTTCACTGGCAAGCGCAAAGGCCTGAGTTCAATCCCCAGTTTCGCCAAAAAAATTAAAAAATAAAAAGAGAAGTCAGGTGTGGTCGCACAGGCCTGTAATCCCAGCACGGGGGAGGCTGACGCAAGTGAGGATCACATGGAGTTCCAGGCCTGAACTGCAGAGCGAGATCGCCTTGAAAATGAAAACAAACAAACAGGGGGGCCGGGGAGATGGCTCAGTAGGATAAGAGCTTGACGGGCAAACGCCAGGATCTGAGTTCAATCCCCGGTTCCGAAAAAAGAAAAAAAAGGAGATTAGTAATAGTTTAGGGCATCATTTCTTAAGATAAGGGCTGGCCAAATAGATCGGTGGATTAAAGTGCCTGCAAGCAGGCGCAGGGGTCAGGGTTTCTATCCCAGGCCAGCCCCACCCCCGGGAGGAGCTGAGCCTGAGACTGGGCGTGGTGGCGTACACCTGTAATCCCAGCTCTGGGAGGCGAATCAGTACGAGTCCTATCTAGTAGTGAGACTCTGAACATCCTGTAGACCCTTCCCTAAAATAAAAAAAAAAGGAAAGAAAAGGGGCCTGAACCCAGAGTGTGGTCGGTCGCTCCTTCAGTCGCTCAGAGCGCGGGGGCTCGCCTTCTCCGCGACCAGATCCCACCCGCCGAGCGCGCTGTCCTGCGGGGGCGCAGCCTCAGCGCGGGCCCCCCTCCCAGCGCCCTCAGGCCACGCCCACTCCCTAGGCCCCGCCCCCAGCCTGCTCGAGCCCTGCAACGGCCCCGCCCCTCCGGCTACTAAAGAGCCGAAGGCCAATGATTGGCCTGAGTCAGAGCTCTCATTTCCTCATTGGCTACCCGCGCCCTCGCCGGGCAGTGTGACCTGGAAGTGATCCGCGAAGCGGCGGGCCGCGTGGATCGTTTTCTCCCCGCGCGGCGGTCGCGGCCGCTGAGATGACCAAAATAAAAGCAGATCCAGATGGGCCGGAGGCTCAGGCGGAGGCGTGCGGCGGGGAGCGCACGTACCACGAGCTGCTGGTCAACCTGAACCCCATCGCGCAGCCCCTGGCTTCTCGGCGCCTCACGCGGAAGCTGTACAAGTGCATCAAGAAAGGTGCGGCGGGCCGGGGGCGGGATCGGGGTCGCGGCCGGGGCCGGGCCGGCTGACTCCGCTGTCGTTGCAGCCGTGAAGCAGAAGCAGATCCGGCGCGGGGTGAAGGAGGTTCAGAAATTTGTCAACAAAGGCGAGAAAGGGTAAGAACGCTGGCCCGCCAGAGCTGCCTTCTGGCTGGGGAGCAGCACTCCTGCGGCGTGCTCCGTCAGGTCAGGTTGCCGACAGCCCGCCCATGCACGGGTATCCAGGCCTCAGCGAGCGCCCTTCGGTGCAGAAACCGACACGAAGTAAGTCCAGAGGCCGGGACCCAGAGCCCCGCACTCGGCAAACGCAGCGTGGCCCACCAGGCAACCGTGGCATGGGCCACAGGACCACGGGCCGTCGTCCCGTTGGCGTGGATCGCCCCGAGGAAACGCAGACTGCAGAGCGGATGACCCACTACTTCTGCCAGAATCCCACTGAGCCCGTGGGTCAGCCTGGCCCACGCCGAGCCCAGCGGTCTGGCACCCCATCGGGACTCGGCATTTATTTGCCTGGCGTGGGGGAGGCCTTGGGGTCCCTCCCCAGGGAGATACGGGAGACCGAATGCTCGGGTTTGAGAAGCAGCTGAGAATCTTGGTGAGGGTGATGAGGGAGAGTCCCAGAGCAGCCCCATTTGAGCGAAGGTCTAATGACGATTAATTTGGGAGAACCAATTTTCCAGAGGAGTGGGTCTTGGGGTGGGAGAGAGTGGTGGACCTTCTTTCTGAGCCTTGTTTAGCCACCAGTAGCTTCTTCTGGGGGTCAGAGGGTTAAAGCCAGGAGGTAACTACGTACACCTTTAGGTTTTCTGGCCAAGAGTGGTGTACACACATGTAATTCCAGCACTCTGGGAGGCTGAGGCAGGAGGACTGCAAGTTTGAGCCCAGTCTGAGCAACTTAGAGAGACTGCCTCAGAAAATAAAAAAGGGCTGGGAGTGTAGCTTAGGTCCTGGGCTCAATCCCTAGTACCACACAAAAAATTTTCTCTCTGGCACTTGAGAAATGCATTAAGGGAGGCATGAGTAGGTGTGAGTTAGGAGGCTGTTGGAACTAAACTTAAAGACTGGGATTTAAAGGATTCAGATGTGGACAGTGAGGTAGGGCTGGGTGTGAGGCAGTGGTAGAATGCCTGCCTGCATGCAGATGCCCAGGTCTCATCTCCAGCCACAAGTTTGGTTTTTAGGGAAGGGTCTACACGGTGTTCAGGGTCTCACTACTAGATCGGACTGGGACTCGTAGTGATCCACCTGTTCACAGCCTCTCTAGAGCTGGGATTACAGGTGCGCCACCATGTCCAGTCTCAGTTGCCCTCTCAGTGCACTCCGGGGGGCAGGGCCAGCACAGCAGACCTGGGGATTACACCCCAGCCCCTAAGCCTGTGCTTTAATCCGCTGAGCTATTTGGCCAGCCCTACAAGTTTGGTTTTAGCTAAGTTTTGAGGCACCTTGGGATCACAGCCCCACACCCCAGTGCCATCTTAACTGTCAAATAGGTGATTACCTGTTTGCAGCTTGGGAGAGCAGGCCATGCTGGAGAAAGTTTCAGAAACAGTAGCTCTACGTGGCACACGCCACCATGGCTGGTGAGTGGGTCAGCCAGGAAGGTCTGGGAGGAGAGCGCAGTGAAGGCCAGGCTGCAAGGACACCTCCAGAGCTGTAGGAAGGAAGACCAGGCAGCAGTGTCCACGAGCTGAAAGGCGATTGGGTGGACGTGGCCTCTGGCACACTGCTCCCTCTTGGGGCAGAGTGTGCGCTTCTTAGACTGGCACCCATTGCCCTCTGGGGTGACACCAGCCAGGCTCGAGCTCTGTGGTTTGCTTCCTTCCCATCAGACTCCCGAGACCTCCCAGCTCCCAACCAGCAGCATCCCTCTGTGGGGTGCCCGGCATCAGTGTCACCTCCTAGATGGAGTGCATGGGACCCTCCCTGCACAGTGTCACTTGTCCTGCCTGGCGGCACTAACATGCTGTTAGCTAGGGATCTCCCCAGAAAGCATTTGCCAAACAGCCTTGCACCCTGAGAGGTCAGGGGGCCGTTAGTAGCTGTGCTCCTGCAGGCAGGGAGCCCTGGAGCCCCGCCAGAGATAGCTCTTGAGGACTGAAGGAGCAGGCCGGAAGTGAGGATGAAGCCTGCATGGTGACGCACTCCTGTAATCCCAGCACTTAGGAGGCTGAGGTGGGAGGATCCTTTCAAGTTGAGACTAGCCTGGGTTAGAGTGAGTTCAAGGCCAGCCTGAATTGCATAGCAAGACCCTGTCTCAAAAAAAAAGACAAGTGAGGGTAGTAATGGTGTCTCTCTTTGCAGGATCATGGTGTTGGCAGGAGACACGCTGCCAATTGAGGTATACTGTCACCTCCCAGTCATGTGTGAGGACCGGAACTTGCCCTATGTCTACATCCCTTCCAAAACGGTGAGGAAGAACGGGGCCCAGGAGAGGGCTGCTGCAGTTATAACCACTGAGTGAGGAAGGCCTGGCTGAAGCCGGGCATGTGGGGCACGCCTGTAACCCAGCGCTTGGGAGGCTGAGCTAGGAGGATCTGTGGGAGTTTGAGACAGCCTGGGCTCCAAAGTGAGCTCAAGGCCTGGCTGGCTTCTGAGTGCACTGTGGTGTGCCAGGTTCACTTCCTGTACTGGGTTGGCTGCTCTGTGTGTGTGTGGCAGTCACAGTGGGCTACGCAGGCTGGCCTTGCATTCAGCGTGGCCTGGGGCCCCCAGCCCTCCCTCCTCACCCTCCAGAACAGCTGGGGTTTCCTTTCTACAAAGTGGGAATCGTCTGTGAACTGTGCAAACGAAAGCAAGGTGGATGAGCGTGTGCTTGGTGAGCCCGGAGGTCCTGATATGTGGGCACTCAAGGCGGGTTTCCTCTGAAGGCCCAGGTTGAGATGAAGGGCAGGGGTGAAGGCAGACTTGAGCACACCCCTTGTGGGCTGCAGCCCTTTAATAGCCATTTGCAAATGGAGGCCCTGTGCTGCTGGACCCTACGACTTCCAACTTTTGGTGAGTTTAAACGAACCAGGGTAGGGCCAGCCAGATAGCTCAGCACACTAAAGTGCCTGCTTAGGCAGAGCACAGCGGCTGGGGCGCCCCAAGCAGTGCCAGCCTGCTCTGGAGTACAATGAGAGGCAGCGGAGACTGGGTATGGTGGCACCCACCTGTAATCCCAGTGCTTGGGAGGCTGGAAACAGGCGATCACTGAGTCTGATCTGTGTAGTGAGTCCTGTCGACCCTGTACTAAATACATAAATGAGCCGGGTGGCTAAGATAGGAGGATTCCCACTTTGAGACATTTTGGCCAATTGAGTGATTTAGTGAAACCCTGTCTCAAAAAACAATTTTTTCCCCTTGGTATTTAGGACAGGGTCTACAGAGGCTCACTGTGGATCGGACTAGAGTGATCCTCCTATTTATAGCCTCCCAAGTGCTGGGATTATGGCATGTGCGGCCACCACGCCCAGTCTCAATCGCTGTTTCAGGGTGCCCCAGGGGCGGGGCCAGCATGGCAGGCCAGGGATTGAACTCCTGGCCCTGTCTGTCTAAGCACTTGCTTTAATCCGCCGAGCTATTTCGCTGGCCCTACAAAAAGCAAATTTTTTAAAAGGCTGGCTCAGTGTGAAAGCCCTGGGTTTAGTCCCCAGAAAGATTTTAGTGATGGTGACCCACTCAAAATGCTTTTACACAAAAGCCTCCCCAGTGGCCCACGTGGACTAGGCCAGTGGGCTACGCTGCGCCCCTTTGTCCAAACCCTTCCTCTCTGGTCTCCGCAGGACCTGGGTGCAGCTGCGGGCTCCAAGCGCCCCACCTGCGTGATCATGGTCAAGCCCCACGAGGAGTACCAGGACGCTTACGATGAGTGTCTGCAGGAGGTGCAGGCCTTGCCGCCACCCTTGTGAAGGACTCGGTGGCCCGGGCAGGCTGCAGGGCCTGCTGCCTGCACTCAGCGCCCCTCCCCGGCTCCGCAGAGACCTGCCAGGCAGCATGAGCACTCTGCCTCCTGAGGGCAGAGCCAGCCTGGGCTGTTGGCCATTTCCTGCTGAGCTTCAGCCAGGACAGTTCAGGGTGTGGGTGGGAAGTAAATGCTGAGACTAAAACTGTGTCTGTGGGTGACTTTGGGTGGGGGTGCAGGCAGGAAATTGCGGAAGCAGCCCTTCTCACCAAAGGGACGACTCCAGGTACTCGGTGCTCTGTGGGGGCCCGGGGCGGAGCTTCAGCTCCACCTGCGCCTCAACTCTGCATGCCACCCAGGGTAGGTGGGGGCTTCCAGCTGCTGCAGGACACTTCCCACTCTCCGCTTCCCAGAGGAGCCTCAGAAGCCGTGAGGGCTGTGTGGAAGCAGTTTGCCCCTTTGTGGTGAACTGCACCTGGGAATGTGAATCTGCACAGCCCACGGGCCATACCTAAAAGGAACCGGGAATTGAACTCCGGCCCTTGCGCTTGCCAGGGAAGCGCTTATTCCACTGAGCCGTCTCCTTGGCCCCACCCCGCTGGCTTCCAGTAGGGTTTTATACCTGCACATGGAAAAGCGCCCTGTGTGAGCCGTGCCAGCCCCAGGACATCCCTGTCACGTTGCCAGCAGTAGCCGCAAGGCTGTGCCCAGCAGCTGTGTACAGATGTGGGATGCTTGCCTGTACTGAGCATGGGACTGGCCACAGGTAAGGAGAAGGCTATGAATATATTTGCTCAGTTATAAAACAGTGGCATTCAGCTCTGCCGTGTGCTATTTACAATGGGGAATGGCTGCACGACCAAGCCACAGCAGGCCACCCCGGGCTGTGGGGCAGGAGCAGACAAGCCTTGGCCTGGCAGGGAAAGATCCAGGGCAGGGCTAGAAACATCTCTGCTGCTGGTGGCCAGTGCCTCTGCTACTCTGGCTTGCTAAATCAGCTGCAAACAAAGTAGGACAGAGGCCAGCAGGGCGGTGTGCCTGCCTTCCAAGCTTCTGCCTGAGGCCCCACTTCAGCCAGGTGCTCTGAATGGGGTCCCAGGCTGTGAAAAGCCTTTCCAACCAAGTCCTTTCGGGCAGGAATCAGAAAATGATGCGTTTCCCATCTGCTGGGTTCTGCTCCATAGGACAGTAGGGGCACTTGAGCCTGCAGAGGGAGAAGCAGGAGTGTCAGCAGCGTCTGGGGGGGCAGGGTGGAGGGGGCCGGGGCTGGGGACTTACTTCCCTCCAGTAATGAGCTTGTTGAGTGCATCCCGGGAGATGACGTGGCCACAGATGAGCTTGATGGGAGGGTTGGAGTCTGAGGTCTGCTGGCGAAGGATGGGACAGGCGAACACCGAGTGGTACCAGCACTTCATGCCCAGCTCGATCTCAATCTGTGAGGCCAGCAGACGTGTAAGTCCCGCTTCCCATCTCCACCCCTGCGTCTGGTGCACACCTCTCCCTGCTGGCTCACCGGCAACTCGTCCTTGTGACTCCAGACGCCGGCGCACTGCCTCTGCTCAATCACAGCCTTGATGTTCATCAGCACGGGCAGCGCCACGCAGCCAGAGGCAAAGCTGCAGGCAGAGAGCGGGGCTGGAGTGCAGGGCCCGGGAGCCACACAGAACAGAGTATCATGGGGGAGAGCACCTGCTGGCAGACCCTTGGATGCCAAAACAGCCTATGGCGCACACGGCAGTGCCACACGTCACTGTCCAAGGGCCACTAACATTCTATGATACGAACATTGAGTGACAGAGCAATTGAGCCTGAGTCTGCCATCTTGGGGTGGGTTTGGTTTCCATGGCAGCTAAACAAGACCTGACAGCTGTCTGCTGAGGGGCCAGTGCTCTTGGGCCACTCATGTGGCGAGCCTGTTTTTCCTCATCTTAGCGTGACTCTTAACTCTGGGGCTGCTGAGTAAGTTGGGAGAGAATATTACCGAGACCTCTAAGCCCAGCCCCAAGTCCATGTTCCACAGTCACTCGGCTCCCTGAAGGAAGTGGGGTGGGCAACATGGAGGGGTATGACTTCGCGTAGAGGGTCTGAGCATCCAGGCTGAGTGCAGTGGGGAGGCAGAGCCTGTTCTCTACCTGTAAACGCAGGAACCTGCAACCTGGAAGGACGGTGGAGGCAGGCTCATACCTGACACTGAGGGGGGACTCCACCGAGAGCCCCAGCAGGCAGCAGGCATCCCGGGTGAAGGTCTCGCGGATCTCCGCCCAGTGGCTGCTGTCCAGGAGGTGGCAGTAGGGAGACTTCTCCAGGCCCAGGCGCAGGTACACAAGACTGCCCATCATCACCTGGATCTCTGCAAGGCAGCAGGGTGCTGCTCAGGGGTGCAGGGCACGCGTCCACCCTAGGGCAGCAGAACCGTGAGGCCCAGCACCACGCCAAGGCACCCTCGGCCCAGACCCCTGGCAGGACCGGGGGGACCGAAATGGCCTTGGCCAAGGAATTCTCTCAAACCCAGTGGGGAGCTGGGCTCTGCCAGCTGTTTCGGCACAAGGAGTCGGACGGAACGGGGAGCCCCTCCTGCCCCAAGTGCATCGAGCACGCATCTCAGACTGGCACTGTCTTCATCCCAGGGCCAGTCTCCAGGCGGTGGCGTCCCGCTGAAGCTTGCCACAACTCTTGGTTTTTGTGGTAGTTCTCACTCATTCATTTCTGATTTTTTTTTTTTTTGGCTGGCTCAGCCTGCCTTAAGGGTGGGTCTGGTAAGGCAGGTGGAGGCTTAGGGTTAGGGGGTGAAAACTGGTATCCTGAGCCTGACTGCATTTGCATGAGCAGGTGCTTGAAGAACTAACCGGCAGCCCCTCCCCCATCCATTCATTCCTGTGGAGCTCACATGCGACCAGGCTCTCCACCACTGAGCTGCGCCTCAGGCCTTTTTTTTTTTTTGTATTTAGGACAGGGTCTACAGGGTCGCACGGCATAGAGCCGACTCGTAGTGATCCGCCTGTTTACAGCCTCCCAAGTGCTGGGATTACAGGCACACGCCACCATGCCCAGTCTCACGTGCACCCCAGGGGGCGGGGCCAGCATGGCAGGCCTGTTGGGACTGAACTCCTGGCCCCTTCATCTGCCTAAGCAGGTGCTTTAATCCGCTGAGCTGTTTGGCTAGCCCTTACTTTTAATAAATTGTAAAGCAGTAAGGATGAGTAAGGTTAGAGGAATAGTAACCTATGTGTTACTCTGATGAGCATCTTAAAGGCAGGACTCAAAGGCAATCAGCCCAGAAGGCCCAGAGCCCTCCCTCCCCAGGGGACACACCTAACTGGCCTGAGATGACACTAAATGCTACCTGGAGGTGAAGGCAGGTGGCCCTTGGGTTTGAAATTCACCTTGTGCTAAGTTGGGTCGAGGAGGGTTTGGGGTCAGGAGACCAACAGAACTAGTTAAGGTGGAGGTCAACTTGATTGCTTTGGGATCTGAGGGACTGGAGAAGACAGAGGTGTGGCACCAGGATCTGTCCCTTCCTCTCGGGCAGCATTCACTGCTCTGCCTTCCAGCTCCCAAAACCTAAGCATCTTTGCTCCCCCATACCCAAGCCATGAGCTAAATTAAATCTTTTCTTTAAATTGCGAGTGTTGGGTGTCCCGGGCAGTGGGAAAGCAGAACACAGCCCCAGGTGGTGCAGGGCTGCAACCCCACGCTTAACCAGGCACACGGGACATCTTCCAGGCCTACGGCCTCCCGACGCTGGGCACCTACCCCGCTGATGCAGGCGGGCAAAGGGCTGGAAGTGTCGGGCGTAGCTGAGCGCCTCGAGCTGCTTCTCAGGGCCCCCAGCCAGGAGGCGGATAAAGTGCAGTCGGTGCAGCTTGAATTCCAGGGAGCTGTTGAGCTCCAGCAGGCGCTGCCTGTGGGAGACAGCCCACCTGGGAAGACCGGGCCAAGTCAGTGGAGCTAGTGGGACAGCGGGACCCCCGGCAGAGCCAGCACCTGAGAGGACCACGGCCAAGCCCCAAGACAGACAAGGCAGGCCCGGCGCATCTGGGGGACGGAGGCGCACAGACAAGGCCTGCACCCCGAGAGGCAGGGCCAGAGGCACAGCCCACCCTGGGCTCCTTACTCCAGCGCAGGGCCTAGGTCTTGGTCGTGTAGAGCTTCCAGAATGCGGTTCAGCTCCAGGAAGGGCTGCTTGAAATCCAAATCCACACTCAGGGTTGATTCCTGTAGGGATAATGACAGCGATCCTACTGGAAGACAGTGTTGCCAAAACTCTGCTCTGTACACAGACAACTTCTGCCAGACAGGCTGCCGCAGGCAGGGTGCTGCCGCAGCTGTGGTCTGCCAGCTGCTTGTCCTATTCTGGGGAGGCCAGGGTGGCACTGGGAGCGCAGGCCGCAGATCCCCCGCTCCCCACCAGTGCACTGGAAAGGGACGCGGGCTGGCATTAGGCAGAGTTGCCTTCACTTGAGTGCAGTGTGTCTTTAATGCCCGCTGGGGTTCCGCTGTCATCTCACCGATCCTCTCTTCCATGACGGGACCTCAGGCCTCAGCCCCGACCACCCCTGGTGGTCAGCGGCCCTAACAGCCACCTTCCACCTGCCTTCCTCTCTACACAGCAGGGGCGCCCAGGCCCGGCCGGCCCTCACCTGGCAGAGCTCCTCAGCAACGCTGAGCATGCCCTGCTGGTACAGGTGCTCCACGATGGCCGTCTGCAGGGTCTGCTGCTGCTTCTCTCGTGAGTCCCACACCGAGTCGGAGACCACCCCACAGATTTCCGAGTCAAAGTTCTGCCAGGGGGAGGAGGACGCGCACGGCCCTGAGGCTCTGCACTCGAGCCTGCCCCTGGCCTTCCCCCAGTGGCAACTCCAGCACGTCCCTCGCTCAGGCTGGCTGCTCACCCTGTCAATGGCTTTGCCCACGCGGGACACACTGCTGTGGATGTCCTTGTGGTCCGAGGCCAGTTTCTGGACAGTGTCTTTGATCTTCCGGCAACACTGGGACATCACCAAGGACAGGGTGGCTGACAGAGGGGTACCCTGGAGAGCTGTGGAAAAAGTGGACTCGGGACGCTGAGCATAGCCCCTGGAGCCCACTTGCACGCACACCGCATCTCTACTTCCTCCGTTCCAGAAGCTGCTCAGGGAGCAGAAGGCAGCCCTGAGCTCCAGAGCAGCCCTGCTCCTGTCCCCATCCTGCTGCGTGCTCAGGGCATGACCTGGAACCCGGCAGGTGGGCAGGCCAGTCTCGGAGATCTCACATGCTCATCGGTAAAGTCGTGGGTGCTGTGACGTGAACTCGGCACTGTCTACAGATCACATACTTTATTTTAAGCACTTTATGTTTAATTGTCAAGTTACACAGTTACCATAAAGCACAGTAGTTCTACTTCCAAGAAAAGCAAAATCATGTGACCTCAGGAAAACTTGTACATGACTATCAAAGCATTATTTGAAATAGCCACAGGTAAAAAGAACTCAAAAATCTATCACCTAATGGATAAGCAGGGAAGGGTCTAGCCACTGTACAGAAGGCCAGTTGGCCTCAGAGAGCGTGGCCCTGACCCCAGGCAGCAGGGAAAAGCCCTGACACCCCTCACCAATGAAGGAGGCCAGTGCAACGGGCCACACAGGGTAAGATTCCCTTTACCCAAAGGGTCCAGAGCAGGCCGCTCCACAGAGGCCCAAAGTCAAGTGGCCTCAGGGACAGAGTAGTGACAGCAGGCCTGGTATCTTTTCGGGAAGGATGAAAATATCAAATTATAAAATAATAATGAAAGTACAATTCTGTAAATTTAAAACCACCGAATTGTGTACTCTAAAAGGATAAGCTGTGATTTACAGCTCACACAAAAAGACATCAACTATGGGTTTCTCTCGTTAATTTCCCCTTTTAAATTTTATTTATTTATTTGTTTTGCATGTGTGTGTGTGTGGCCAGCTCAGCCCACCAGGGGGCAGGGCTGGCTGGCATGTGGTGCTGGGGGATTGAACTGCAGTCCCTGTGCTATGCTTGGCTTAGTTTGTTCTAAGTAGGTGCTTTAGACCACTGAGCCATCTACCAGCCCAATTTCCCCTTTTAAGATGGTTTTACTGTAATTAAGACAGGCCCTGAACTTAAAGTGATCTTCCTGCCTCTGCCTTCTCAGCACCAAGATTACAGATGTGCACCACCACACCCAGCTTTCCCTGGTTATATCTAAGACAGTTTGAACATTGAAATAAATAACAGAAACTGGACGTGTACTATGCGCCTGCAGTCCTAACTACGCAGGAGGCTGAGGCAGAAGAAAACGCTGGACAACGTCTAGCCTGGGCTACTTACTGAGATGAAATGCTGTCTTAAAATATAAAAAGAGCTGTGGATAGAGCTCAGTCCAAGACCCTGGGTTCAGTCCCCAATAAAACTAATCAATTAAATTTCTGAGACAATGGCAGGGTTAAACCACAGCCATTAGTGATACTATTACATCCTGTTTTGTTTTTTATTTTATTTTATTTATTTATTTGTGTGTGGGGGGGCCAACTCAGCCCACCAGGGGGTGGGGCTGGCTGGCACGTGGTGCTGGGGGATTGAACCACCATCCCTGTGCTTTGCTAATAAGCTTGTTCTAAGTAGGTGCTTTAGACCACTGAGCCATCTCACCAGCCCCATACATTCCTGTTTCATCTTGGGGTTTTGATAATCACATTCCATTTATAGCACAGAGGGCCCTTGATCTTGATCTTAAGCACACACTAAAGGGGTAGGTGCACCTAAACTCATGGTTCAAATGGCTAAAAAGGAACAGCAAAGCAGGAGAATGATACAGCAAATACTGTATCTTGCTTGAGGGATATGGGTGAAAGGTATTTGATTTATTTACACTATTCTTGGAGCCTTCCTGTAGATTTGAAATCACCTTAGAGGTTACTGAAATATAAAAACATAAAAGCAGGGCCTCAGCGAGCAGCTCAGTATTTCTTGGCCTAGCAGGCATGAGGTCCTGGGCTCAATCCCTAGCATCAGAAGGAAAGAAAAGAAACCAGGAGAAAAGCAAAATGGAAACCGTTTCAGGTGAAGTGCTTTTTCTTTTGTTTTTAAGGATGACACCCCGCTATGTAGCCCAGGCTGGCCCTGAACTCATGATTCTTGGCTCCAGCCTCAGAGTCAGCATTTACAGGTGTGTGCTACCATGCCCGCCTGAGATGAGGCCACTGTTCTAAGATGCGTGTACAGCATCCTAACCAGCATCCTTCCGGGACCCCAGCACCACAGCTGGCAAGCTTGCCCGCCGGGAACGACGACGCAGAGACACACCTGCGCTGGCCAGTTCAGTCCGCAGCTGGCCTAAGTAGTGCAGCAACTCCTCCAGGCTTCGCTCGCAGTGCTGCCCGTAGGTCAGGAACTTCTGCAGGACCTTGTCCAGTTCTCTCTCCACACAAGCACACTGCTCCATGCTGCCTCAACCTGTGGAGGGTCAGCGGGGTCAGCCCCTGTGCCCTGGCAGAGGGAGCCCTGACCATGTATTTCTTTAGAGCCCTCCCACCTTTCTAGGCCATATATTAAATAGTGGGAAGGCCCCTGCTTAACAGAACAGCTGGACCATAGCTTCCCACCAGCCTCCGCTAGGTGCCCAGGGGAAGTACCGGCATAAGAACACTGGTGAGGAAAGCATTTTTCAATTCTTTGCACCCCACTATTTTTGTTCATCTCCACTTTTAGTAAGCAGGCTACTCCACAGACTATGTCCATGTACTGCATGGGGTCCTATCTCATATTTTTTTAATTCACTATGGCTGCTTCTCAGGTGCTGGAAGAAGTATTCCATGACTGTGCTACAGCAGCCATGAAGGCAGGCTTTGTGCAGCTGGCCGCTGGAAATGCAACTGTGCTGACCCGACGTGCCTGGCCATCCTCCGGCCCAGCTCCCCGGTGGCCTCCCTGATGATGCTCGCCTGCGTCCCGCCAGCCTCGGCCCTGCTCTCTGGCCTCCAGGCAATGCTGCTCACTGCCTCCACTCCTGGTCCACCTTTCCACGGGAGCGCAGGTGCTGCTGCAGATGGCTGGCTCGGCTTGCCTCACCGGGTTTCCTCTACCCTGGCCTGCCTTGCTTCCCCATCGTGCATTCCTCCCTCTGTACCCCCTTTCTAGGCCTCCCCACCAGCTCGCTGCCTCCCTCTGTTTCAGAGCTGCTGCTGACAACTCCCAATCCTCAGGTTGTCCAGTTTTCCTCTGCACCCTCCACAGGACTTGAAGGAAAGGCTGTGTTCCTCCTCCCTGTAACTCAGTTAGCCTGCCTGTGCATCCTCCACGCAGGCACAGAGTAATGGCTTGAAAAGCATCTGCTGCCCAAGCAGGCTATGGGTGCCTTCGGGTTTTCCGCCAGTATCGTGTGTCCTGGCCTCACCCTGACAGGGACTGGGCACCTGGCCCACTACACATCTGGACCTTCCTTCCTTATGTGGGATGAGAGCACACACCAATCATCTGTTATCAGGGCTTTCAAATGTCCTGCCCCACCGCTCCTGAACAAATCTCTACACCTACATGTGCAAGCTGCAGGCAACAGGGCCTCCTGTCCCAAGTGACAGGAGCAGCTACCATCCCATGTGCCAGGCACTGCAAGTGCCTTCACACACATCATTCTCACAGAAATACGTGCAAGGAAGTGCAGTGGCTAACCACACTCTGCACAGGGAAAAGGAAACACTTAAGGGTGACAGAAGCTGCCCAAGGTCACACAGCTGGGAGGAGGAGTGGGAGGGAGCCAGTGGCCCCTTCCCTTCAGTACTCTGCCTTATGGGCATTCTCAGCACCACCAGACAGGTGACTGCTTCCTCAGCGGGGAAAGCAGCAAATATCTACGGTTGGAATAAATGTACAGCAACCATCAGCAACAACAAGGAACAGGAAGCGAGGTATAGCGCCTGTGGGAACCTTGCCGGGAGGATGGCAAGATGAACGAGTATCTACCAAAAGTGTCTAAGACTCAGGGGCAGAATTTACCAGAAATAAACATGCCTCAGGAAAGGTCAGTACCTCACCAAAGCCACAAAGTCTGGCCCCATCTGGCACCAACTGCCAACATCTTGAGATCATATTAAAAGGCACAGTGTTTTCACCCCAATATTGTGTGTTGTGGCTGGAGGGGGAGAGGAGAGACGCTTAATGTCAGCACAACGTGGGGAGGTGTGCACAGAAGTTCAGCTGGCACTTAGAAACTGTTCCAGACACAGCCAGAGCAACATCGTAAAATCCCAAAACATAGTCTTGGTGGGAAATATTTTATTTTTTATTGATTTGTCTTTTTTTTTTTTTTTTTTTTTTTGGTGGAACCGAGGATTGAACTCAGGCCCTTATGCTTGCCAGGCAAGCACTTATTCCATTGAGCTATCTTCCCGGTCCCTGATTTGTCTTTTTAAGACAGGGTCTCATTATACAGTTCAAGCTGTCCTTGAACTCACGTTGTAGCCCAGGGTAGGTAGCCTCAAACTAAAGCAATCCTCCTGCCTCAGCTGGGATTACAGGCAGGCACCACCACTTAGCAGAGAATAAAATGAAGCCTCAAGAAAATACCAGTTGTGTAAACTAAAAATGTACTCGCACAAAACAAGGCAAGCAAAAGATATGCTAAAGAAATCCCCTGGTATCTATGGGGAATTGGTGGGAGAAGCCCTTGGATACTGCAATCTACAAGTGTTTAAGTTTCATACAAAATAGGCCAGGACATGATACAACCTACACACATCCTCCTCTGGTACTGCCCCTACACTGCCCTGGCTTGACACACAAGCCCTTCGCAGTTACACGTCACTTTCTCTGCAAAAGACACTGCCGCGGGATTGGAGTATCCTCTATGCTTTTCCGCGTGGAGAACACGGGCTGCGGTTTGTCCACCAGCTCCCCATGAATGACATCTCCCTGCCTCTTCTCTTCACACACACCAGTCCGGGGCGCATGACCAAGCACCCTGGAGTCCCCCCTGGTGGAAGCGGCATGCTAACTCCCTGTTCAAGAACCGTAGGCACCCACTGACAGCTGCGCGGGGCCTGGAGGTCAGTCTTGTCTTCCCTATCCTTCAGGGCCGAGGCCAGGACCTATCTACTGATTAAACCGTGTCTCTCCAAGGGGTGGGCGGCAGAAGAGCAGGAAATAAATACTAAGTCCCCACGAAGGCGGGCTGGGGCTTTGCTTTCGGTCTGCAGCATCCGGGGACAAGAGGGCTCCCGCGGCTGGGAGAAGGGAAGTTGGTGTGAGGCACTGGCCTCCACTGTCCCGACGCTTACACTTTCACCGTCCGTCTCTCCCACCTGTCGGGCCTCTGCTCAGCCTACAGATTACAATCGTACGCGGAGTAAAACCCGCGCTCCTCTCGGGCCTCCGAGGCCTCCCGCCGCGGCTCCCGGCCGGCCGCGCTGCCTGCCTGCCTGCTGCCCCTGCGCGGCCTTCGTACTGGCTCTGCGCGCACAGACCACGTTCTCGGACGCCGTCCCCTCGCAGCCGGCCCTGCTCCTTTGCACATCCCTGTTTCATGTCTCAGATCTTTCTTTTCTCCTTGAACAAGTCTGGAACGAAAAGCCCCGCTCCCACGGACAGCACCCTCCACTGGCACCCCGCCTGCACCAGCGCGCCCAGGACCGGCGGGCCCTCCGCGGCTCCGACGCCCCGCGGGGCCTGGCTGCCAAGGTTACCTCGGGCCGGGCCGGGCGCCCCGGAGGACCCCGGCTCTTGAGGGCGCGCTCGAGCGCTCCGCGG